AAGTGCACACAAGACAAGTAATAAAATTTATATTATTAAATTTTAAATTAATAATATAATGTATATATTGTGTGTGTGTGTGTGTGTGTATAAAAATATATATATACTGAACGGCACAACCAAGTAGCTGGCATTGTGTACAGGAACATCTGTACAGTGTATGGGCTAGACCCTCCCAAGTCCAGATGGGAGATTCCACAGAAGGACATGGAGAATAACAGGGCTAAGTTCCTGTGGGATTTCCAGATCCAGATGGACAGGCAGGTACTGGCCATCAACCGGACACTGTGGTAGTAGACAAGGACCAGAAGACAGTGGTAGTGATAGGTGTAGCAGTGCCTCGTGACAGCAACATCAGGCAGAAGGAGTAAGAGAAGCTGGAGAAGTACCAGGGCCTGAAGGAGGAACTAGAGAGGATATGGAAAGTAAAGGTCAAGGTGGTCCCAGTGGTGGTAGGAGCGCTTGGGGCTGTGACTCCTAAGCTGGGAGAGGGGTTTCAGCAGATCCCAGGAGCAACATCAGAGCTCTCTGTGCAGAAGAGTGCAGTGCTAGGAACAGATCCTGCGTAGAACCCTCAACTCCCAGGCCTCTGGCAGAGGACATAAAGATTGAGGAAGACACAGACCACCCATAGAGATGAAAGGGGAATTTTATATATATTATAAATATAAATAAATATAAATAATAATATATACATAATTTACAAATCATTTCTTTTTCCATTATAGAGTTTTGAGTTGATTTACTGAAAGAAATTTCTCAAACTCTTTTAAATGAAAGTAGGAAAAAGTCGCCCCTTTCAAAACTATAAGCCAGTAATTCTTGTACTATAAAGCCTCTATAAATGACTATTCAGGTTTCTTATCTTGTTTACTGATTTGTCATAGTCATAAAATCAAATAATCTATGTATTGCAATATGATTGCTTACAATTCTTCACCACATAACCAACCAGAAATCATCCTTCTCTTGTTCTTTTTGTATCTCATCCTGTGGATATCACAGGATGAAACACGATTCTAAGTGAATCATGTTATCACAAACCAAATCTCATACTAAAGTATCAAGATGAGCAGAGTTCCATGTGTTTGTGAGCCCAGATGGGTGAAGCACATAGCCAGTGGTGTGCTGAAGCCGGCTTGTAGCAATTTGTGAGAGAGAGCCGATTGTTAAATTTTGTAGAATTTTGTGAGCTGGTTGACGGCAGAGCTGAGGCCCAGTGCCTGGTGTCCTGATCAGCTGTTCAGTGGCTAGCGGCACAGCAGTGGCTGTGGAGTTAGCGTAGCCGGTTGCTACACATTTACCAGCAGACCACTGCACGTAACCCTCATACGTGAAAGCCAATTGGGTGTAGTGCTTGAGGTGCTGGATTAGAAACCTGGAGACCGTGACCTCTTGTCTTCCCTCAGGCATGAAAGCCAGCTGGATGACTTTGGGCCAGTCACTCTCTCTCAGCCCAGCCCACCTCACAGGGTTGTTGTGGGGAAACATTATGCACTCTGTCTTGAAATGTATAAAATATAGGTGGGATATAAATCTATTTAACTTAACAGATTTCACCCAAGTTTTCACTGCACTTAGTTCATATCTTCATCTGCGAATCACTTCATTATCCTGGAAGTTACTGCAAACTGTATACAATCTGCTATACAAGTATTTATACAAACTGAATACGAACTCGGCTGAAGGGAGACCTTCTTTAGTGTTTCACTAAATCAAAAGCATGATATAAACTCAAAGATATGATGACAAATACACACTGATGTAATTTATAGTAGAATGTGGAAGAAGTGTATAATGTAAGTATGCACAATGCCAATACCTGTGGTTTCAACTGAGAGGTTTTTTTAACCATCTTTATTCTTCAAAATAGTCGAGATTGTCGATTTCGCCATCTTGTACTCCGAGGCCAGATCAGTCACACGAATACCACGCTCATACTTTTCTACAATTTCCTTCTTCAATTCAAT